ATTTACAACCTTCTGGATAAAGAAATTTGTCTGTATCTCACTCTTAAATGGCCAACATTTATTCTGAGACAGTGTCATTCTGAGCTCTAACCATTTTAGAATATTTCTGTATGGATGGCTGGCATCTTGTAAAGGTGAGAAAGTGCCGAATTGAGTGCAGGGACCATTGTATAGTAGCAAATTGGGCAGTGAAATTAGGCACAGCCTGATCCCAGAAAAATTGCAATGTGAAAAATAACCACAGAGCCTGGTTTTAGTCCATCATTGCCAAGTAAATACCATTTGGGGCACTGGGGTAAAATTGGAGGGAGCTCCCCTACACTTCTTAAAGTAGTCATGGGACCTTTCATGTCCACCCAGACAGGATCACAGTCCCATCTAAAAAAAATGGCAGATCCAACAGCACAACACCTACTAAGTCAAGACTATGGGGAATCTCTTGAAAAGTGCATCTTGAAAAAGTGCCTGGGGATAGGGAAGAAACATGGGCAGAGAGAACAATAGGAGTCTATTTAAGGTCCCACTGCAAGAATCAGTGTGAACTGGTTACAACAGACCTGGAAATAAATACATGAAATCCAATTAAGCTTCATTAACAGGAAATGACATTGACCTTTCTTGCCTGGGCCTGGAGCAGGTCACTGAGCCCTGAACTAGTCTCAGGAAACCAGTCAACATTCCCATCCTAAACTCTCCTCCACAAAACAAAATAATTCGTTGGAAGGGTCTCAGGGCCACTGGGGTTGAGTGGGTAACTGAGAAAGGTGTCCTCATCATCACAAGCCAGTGACTCTACAGAAAAGTGAACACACCTACGCATAGGTTCAGGATCAGTCTGGACTGCGACGGGTCTAGAGGTCCAATGTCCTCCTGACTCTTTCCTGTTTCTCTGGTGAGGGAGCAGAGGTGAACTAGACTTGCAAAGCATCTCTCACGCAATCACATGAACAAACATTCTTAGTCAGTCATACACTCACGTGCATTCGTATACGCCACTCAATGTCTAGTTACCTTCTGGTGTATCAACTGCAGCTTCATGTCTTTCTTCCTTGAGCCTGGTTGGGATCTCAGAAGTACAACTGCAGAAAGTAGAATCGTGAAGTTAGGGCAATGTTGAATAATTGTTTCTTCATATTAATCTGGGCACCCTGCCCCAGGTTTCCGAAAGCTGGGGTTATCCTAACAAATCACATGTAGCTGACCAATTCTTCCCATGCAAAGCATCCCAGCAAGTTTATTTCCCTTGAGTGCACCTTAAAGTTCCATTATGGAATCATCTCTGCTTGCAGACTGTCAGAACAGGCTGACAGGAGATCTGAGCAAGGTGAACAAGTGGATTAGATAAGATTCCCATTAGATGATGGTACCTGGAATAGAAGGTTCTGGATAAGAGTTATAGGTTAGAAAGGGAGGGTTCTCCCCTGCTGCGCTTCGAAGTGGTGCTGGCGACAGCTTTCACATCCATTTGAACAGGTCTCACCCAAAAGACAGTGTAGCACTCCCTACCACACTGCTCCGTTCCCACCAGTGAAACAATAATGTCCTTATAAAGTTCATGTATTTGACTGGAGAAATGGATCGGACAAATGTACTTAATATTTAACAAATCTATTGAAAGATACAGCTTGATTCAGTTTAATATCGCAAAGTCAGCAGCTTCCGCCTTAGCTGGCAATGCGAGAGGAGATTCTGTGTTAATGTAAAAAGCACTCAGAGGTCTGCATGTTTAATTCATACATGAGATGGGAGCACGAGATAGCAAGGCCATCACTTGTCCTGGAATTGAATAACTTGCTCAGCTATTTTTGAGGACTGTTGAGGGTCAACCAAAGTGGTGAGTCTGGAGACACATGCAGGCCAGACCAGATGAGGAGAGATTTCCTTCCCCAAATGGCAGTAGCAGGTGGGTTTTTACAAAAGTGGTCAAACTAGGCTATCTTCTAATTCCAGATTTCCAAGAAAAATTGAATTCAAATGTTATGGATTTGAACTTCTCTAAAACATTAGGCTGGGGTTTTGAATTACTAGCGTGCAGATAGTACCACCATGTGCCAACTCCCAACTACATGTATCCTTACATCAACCCCTTATACTACATGTACACCCATTTCACTCAGTGCCGACATGTTCTATATTTTCACACCCACCCAAAACCTCACTGTGGGCATTCTGTAGTGTCTCGCAGGTAAGAGACCTCAGTAAAGATCCTTCTAATCGGGTAGCCCTCTCCCGAACCAATGGGGAGCTGAAGTAGAGAATATTGTACAGAGCTGGGCTATCTAATGTTCTTACAGGACTGCATGTAATTTTAACAGCTTGAATAATTCCATATCTCTAAAACACACACAGCATGAACAGCTGTAACCTATTCTCTATTCTTTGAAGTTCTTGGCACAGAAACAGTTATAAATTCAGAGATATTTAACATGATGACAGCATGTGCTGTTCAATATGTGTCCTTAAGTATCTATTCCATGAAGAGTCCCCTGCTGGTACTTGTGTGTATGGCTGCATCAAGTGAACAAAATACAAGGGGAAGTCTTTCAATTTCTACCTCCACGCAAATCCCACGGTTTTGATTTTTGGTGCCTCTGCGCATTGATGGCAAGGGAAGGGGGTTAGGGTCAAATGGAAACAGCTTCCAGTAATGTTCCAGAGGGTCTAGTGTTAGGTCCTTCTGTTTGTTGCATATATTAACGACTTGGATTTAAAGGTGAGAGGCAGAGTTGTGTTTTTGATGGAGAGGATAGCTGTTGACTCGAGATTGGCATCAAATGTTTGAGTGAGCAGGCAGAAAAATAGCAAATGGAATTCAATCTAGAGAAATGCAAGGTCATGCATTTAGGGAGGGCAAACAAAAGAGAGTACACAATAAAAGAGTGGATATTGAAGGGGTCAGAGGGAGAGGAAAAGAATAAGTACTTATCCACAGGTCCCTGAAGATGACAGGATGCGTAGATAAAGTGCTAAAGGAGGTATACCTAGTTCCTTCCTTCATTTGCCGAGGTATTGAATACAAAAGCAAGGATGTAATGCTAGAACCAAATAAAGGACTAGCTAGATCAAAGTTGGAGTTTCATGTAGTACAGTTCTGGCTTCAAAATTACACGAAGAACATAATTATTCCAGAGAAGGTGCAGAAAAGATTTACAAAATTGTTGCTAGGGCTTGAAAATTGCAGGCATGAGGAAAGATTAAATAAGCTAGAATGATTTTCCCTACAAGAAGCGGCTGACTTAATTAAGGCCTGGGTAGAACGGACTAGTTTCCTCAGCTGAGAGGTCATTTACCAGGGGACATTGATTGAACGTAGCTGGTAGAAGGATTAGAGGAGACATGAGGAAAAAATGTTGCATTAGAGGGTAGTAGGTGCCTGGAATTCACTGCCCTGTTGGTGTTTGTGGCAGAAACCCCCCCCAACACATTTAAAAGAAACAATATTGTGCACCTGATGTGCTGCAACATGCAAAGCTATGGGCCAGGTGCTTGGGATTAAAGTGGGCAGCTAGTTTTTCTCTTGGGTGGTGCAGGCACAATGGGCTGAATGGCCTCTTTCTCTGCTATACCTTTTCTTTTGTTCTGTGGGAGGATAAGGATAGCAGCATGACAGAGAACATGTCATGGTCTGCTAACTTGGCTTGTCAGTTAATTTGGCATCCACAGGTCTAGGTTGGTTGCAGCCTGTGAAGGGAACAATGGGGTGGTCAGTCCCACTATGTTATTCACTTACATGGCCTCATGAGTAGCGAAAGAGAAAAATGATGTAATTTAAGAGAGATGGAGGAGTAGTGGTTACTTCACCGGACTAATATTTCAAAGATCCAAGCTAATGTTCTGGGCACGTGGGCTCAAGTCCAACAGTAACAGCTTAATCTCATCTATAATGGTGACTATGAAAACTACCACTGATTGCTGTTTAAAAAAAAATCTTTACTATGAAAAAGAGAGACAGCCATTCAGCCCCACAACCTGCTTCACCATTTAATTAGATTATGGCTGATCTTCTACGCCAAAACAATTTTACTGCACTCTCCCCATACCCTTGATATTTTTAATATCTAGAACTCTATCAATCTCTGTTGTGAACATATTCACAATGGAGCTTCCACAGGCCTCAGGGACAGAGAATTTCAAAGATACATCATCCTCTGAGTGAAGACATTCCTCCTCAATTCAGGCCTACCCATTATTTTGAGGCTGCAATCCCTAGCTCAAAACCCACACCCTGACCCAGGGGCAACATCCTTTCTGCATCTGCCCTATCAATCCTGTAAGGATTTTGCATGCCTCAATGAGGATCACCTTTCATGTTTCTACTGACATTGAGAGAATGAAATCTGCTGTCCTTATTTGGTGTGGTCTACATGACTCCAGACCCACAGTAAAGTGATTGACTCCTAACTACCTTATGAAACGGTTTAGCAAACTACTTAGGTCAAGGGACATCAGGGATGGACAACAAATGCTAACCTTGCCAGCAAGGTCTACATACCCTGAAGGAATAAAAAAAAAATCAAGTTTCCTTTCTTTTTGCATAATTTGGTTTTTATTAATTGTACCTATCCAAAATGATTTATTCTATTAGATTGACAACAGCAAGCCATCACCTTTTGGTTGTCAACCTTTCTGGTTGTCTCTAGTGTTCCTCAGTCACCTCCTGTTACCATTGTTACTGTGCCTATGATGAGAGGCAGCTATTTGCCTGTGACTTTATTCTGAACAGAAACTGCACGGAAGCAGAGATCAGCAGCAAAAAGTTCACATCACGCCTTAAGTCTAGGCGTGGAAGATTGAGAAATTCGAATTTGCAGTTTAAAGGCATAACAAGAACCTCCTTATAAAATCTGGTCTTGTGCAAGGCACTGAAGATGTTGCTCAACAGTTTAAACTGACTCATGAGCACGTTCCTGTGACCTAAACAATATCATCCCATCCTCAAACCAGTAGTTTCAACGCAAAACAAGTTTATAAGTTTGCTAAAAAAGACCAAAGAACCGCAGATGCTGGAAATCCAAAACAAAAACTGAAATTACTGGGAAAACTCAGGTCTAGCAGCATCTGTGAGAAAAATCAAAGTTAACGTTTCGTGTTCAGAGATGCTTCTTCAGAACAATTCAGTGTATTGTTCTGGAATGTTTAAGAGAAATGATTTAAGGCATACAAGGTGTACGTTTCCCTCTTGTGAATATCTGTCAAAGAAGGCTGTCGGTAACTAGGCCAGAGGATTTAAATGACCTGAACAGCTCCACCTTTGCCATGGTGCAGAGAATCTTAGGCTACCTGACAAGCCTCAGAGACATTTAATTGCCAAAAAGCACCTTTGATTCGTGAGAAAGGCTCCTCAAGATGTCTGACCAGGTCATTTAAAGGGTGAAAGTGTTGCATCTGAACACCACAGTATGATCGTTGCTTCATAAGTCTAAATCCAAAGAGAGGAACTTGAGTCACCAGTGCAAACATCTGCAAAATATATCAGCAATATAACAGAAATTTCACCAACCCTCCTCCTCCAAACCACCAAGTGTTTTGGGTTTCCGTCACAAGGTTCACAAAACCGCTGAAGTATCTGTAAAGAGGGAACCACTCCCCAAAGAAAGATCACTGTGGAAAAATGCAACACAGCCTTTCTTAGACTTAAATGGAGCAAGTATCTCTGTGGTATATGGTCCTAATGAAAATGTGAAGAGGAGAAAATTGTTGGGCCACAGGGAAAGGCTGGGGGGTTACTACTGGTTAAGTTGCTCTTACGGGGAACTAGTACAGAGAATGTAGGTTGAATGGCTTCTTTGTGCTGTAACTGTTCTAACACTCTATGAGGGGTCTGAATAATGGAGGCTACAATACAATAGCCCACTGCACAACAGTCCCATCTGAGTCTAGCTTCCATTGCAGACTCATACAGTCAAAGAAATGTACCTCACAGAAACAGACCCTTCGGTCCAACTCGTCCGTGCCGACTAGATATCCTAAATGAATCCGTCCCATTGACCAGCATTTGGCCCGTATCACTCCAAACCCTTTCTATTCATGTACCTAATCAGATGCCTTTTAAATACTGTAATTGTACCAGCCTCCACCATCTCCCCTAGCAGCTCGTTTCATTCACCACCACCTGTGTGAAAAAGTTGCCTCTTAGGGCCCTTTTAAATCTTTCCCCTCACCTTAAATCTGTGCCGTCTAGTTTCAGACTCCCCTACCCTGGGAAAAAGGACCTTGGCCATTCATCCGATACCTGTCCCTCATGATTTTATAAACCTCTGGGAAGCGATTGCACTAGAGTCCACAAATAGCAAATTCAACAAATGTTGCCTAGGTTGGCGCATTTCAGCTATGAAGGGAGACCACAGAGGCTAGATTTATTTTCCTTGGAGCAGAGGAGGCTGATGCAGGACCTAACAGAAGTACACAAATTATGAAGGGCATAGATGGGGTCAATAGAAATATATTTTTCCCCTTCATACAAGAATCACAGATTTAAGGTAAGGGGCAGGAGCTTTAGAGAGCCTCTATCTAAAATGCACCCAATCCTCTGGTCTGTTTTGAGGTACATCAATGAATGCAGCCACTGCATCAACTCCAGTTAGCGCATTTCTGGAGTTTTCCATCACATGCCCTCCCACCTGGAGATACCCCATCTCCACACACTTACCAATGGCCCTCCCTCAGGGATCACCATCTTTCCAATCTCGTTATGACAGAATTGATTTGTTCTACCTGTCTCCAACACTTAAATAATAATCAAAATTTTAATAAATTGAAAAGAAAACATCTTCTCCATGAATTTTTCCAATAACAGATTGATTTTCAATTCCAGGTGACGACCTTTGAGCTAAATCTCATCAAATCTCGGACACTGACCAGACTAGCCAGATGTGGCTACGAGAACAGGTCAAAAGCTAGAAATCCTGCAGCAAGTTATTCACCTCCTAACTCCCCAAAGCGGTCTACTGTTTACAAGGCACAAGTTAGATGTGTGACAGAATACTCACCACTTGCCTGGAGTGCAGCTCCAACAGCACTCAAGACGATCAATACCATCCAACACAAAATAAGTCAGTTGATTGGTACCTCAGGTACCACCTCCAATATTCACTCCCTTCACTAGTGCTGCACAGTGCATACCCTCTACATGATTCATTATAGCAATTCACTGAGGCTCCTCCATTAGCCTCTTCTAAGCCTGCGACCTCTACTATCTAGAAAGACAAAGGCAGCAGATATACAGGACACCATCACCTGCAAAATTCTCTCCAAGTCACACACTATCTTGACTTGTAAATATTCCTTCAGTGTTACATATATCAAGACAGAGCTTAAGAGAGGTAGAGTTAAAACTTACTCTGCCATTCAATAAAATCATAGCTGATCTGTCTGTAGTCACATCTCCATTTTCCCATCAGCTCCCCATGCTTCTGGAACTCTTTCCCAAGCCCTCCAAAACAGCTCACATTCTCGAGGGATAATTAAGGACACGTGTTCCCTTGTAGTTGAACATGTGTTCATCTTACTTAACGCTGTACACAATAATCACACAGTATCAATGTTTTAATCATGTGCACATGATGCCCTCGGGTCAGGCCCTCATCCCATGAATGAATAAAGAAAAAAAAAAAAAAAAAAAGTTACTTACCACTTGTCACCCCAAGCCCAGTTAATGTCCAGGTCATGTTGTATTTGAACATGGACTGCTTCAGTATCTGAGGCTGAATGTTGTGCAATCATCAGAGCCAACCTTATGATGGAGGGAAGGTTATTGATAAAGCAGCTGAGGACGGTTGGGCCTAAAACACTAATCTGAGGAACTCCTGTAAAGATGTCCTGGAGCTGAGAAGACTTACCTCTAACAACCACAACCATCTTCCTATGTTTGGTTCCCTTATTTAATGAAAGACATCATTTCACTAGTGACAGTGCAGGGAAAGTTCACTAGGACGATCCTGGTATTGGACGGATTGTCTAATGAGCAAAGGCTATATAGGTGGTGAGTCTATTCACTGGACTTAAGAATGAGAGGTGATCTCATTGAAACATATAGAATCCTTAAGGGACTTGACAGGGTAATTGCTGAGATGCTTCTCCCCATGGGAGTGATTAGGACCAGAGGGCATAAAGGAGTGCCAATTTAAGACTGAGATGAGAAGAATTTCTTCTCTCAGAAGGTTGTGTGTCTCGAACTCTGCCACAGAGAGCTGTAGGGCCAGAGTTCTTGCTAATGTTTAAGGTGAAGATTCTTGATCAGTAGGGAAAAAAAAAAATCGAGGGTTACAGGAAAAGAGCAGGAAAGTAGATATGAGGAACATCAGATCAGCCATCATCCTATTGAATGGAGGGGCAAGCTCAAGGGGCTGAATGGCCTACACCTATTCCTATTTCATATGGTCTTATGTACAGATTTCCTTCCTTAAATGGCATTAGTGAAGCACCGCCCCCCCAAACACCCATCCACCCAAGTAGCCATGGTGTCAATTTGAACTCATATTCCCACGGCATTAAACCAGACCTCTGCTTTACTAAGTCAGTGACATTGCCACTATGCCACCATCTCTCCTATCGACTGTGGAGCTGGCCACGAAGTGTGTAAAATTGTGTTACCGGACTGGGAGCATACTGGTAAGTCAGTGAGACTAGAAGTGAAATGGGAATGGGACTTTGTCAGAGTTAGGAGACAGGCACAACCATCTTGGATGAGCCCCAGTCCACAAGAGGATGGAAGACATGAGGCCAGCTGGGAGAGCTTCAGAATAGTCAAAGTCTGGAAGTTAACAAAAAGCTGTTCAAAATAGAGTACTAGATAAGTAGAAATTTAGTCAAATTGAAAATAGGAAAGACAAGGTCCCTGTTTGAAACTCTATCCCAGTTTGGTCTAATAATTATGTTTGTAAAGCATGATGGGATGGTTTATCTATGTTCACAGCACTGCATAACTGTGGGTTGTTGTCATTGTTGAATCCACAGGCTTGTCTTTATGGAACCTCAACTGCCACCTACAGCTTTACTGTCCACAAAACCTGGTTCCCAGCTGTATGAGAACTGAAGGCAATAAGAACATCATTGATCTCAGTGGCTTATAACTGCAAAAAGTTTTAACTCTGCTGACTGTATGCTGAAGCTTGCAATACCAGGCTACAGAAGGCATCTGCTTGTCTTAAAGGGCTGAATGGCCTGATCTCACCACTAAATCAGATCTTTACAGGAATTCTTCAAGCACCCAGAATCACAGAGTAATGACACAGAACAGGTGTCATGCCTATATTGGCTCTTTGAAAGGTATTACTAATTAGTCCTGCTCATTGCCTGCTCCCAGCACATTTTTTCTACAACCACGTTTATTTTTATTCCCAAGCATTTATCCAGTTCCCCTTTAAAGGGAGGAATCTAGAATTGGGGGTCACCATTTAACGCCCGTTTGTGGACTTTTTTAAAATCGCCAAACCTTTCGAAACGCTTTTCTCTGAAAGGTGGTAGAAGTACGGTTTTTAAATATTTTTAAGGCAGAGGTTGACATATTCGGGATAAGGAAGGGGGTGACAGATTAGGAAGGAATATGCAGTAATCAGATCAGCCAGGATCGGACTGAATAACAGAGCTGGCTCGAGGGCCGAGTGACCTGCTCCTAATTCGGATGTTTACACGAAAATTACTCCCGAATTTGCCATCACCTTCCCTTCCAGCAGCGCTCTCCAGGCCACAATAATCTGCGTACAAGCTGAAACCCAGAATAACCGAGGATTGAGACGAACTGGGAGAGGCCAACAATCCCGGGAATTGACAGCTGACACGATCCCTGGAAGCGGGTTCTGTAAACAAAAAACCCAGCAGTACCCAGGCCCAGAGAGACTGAGTAAAGACAACCCTTACCTCAGAGATGTTGGCAGTCAACCGGTAGCTGTCAGCTGACACCATTGCTGTGGCCCGTCACAGACAGACGGCAGCCTGAAGCCCCGCCCCACGCCGCTCGCGAGATTCGCGCTCAGTCTCACGAGCGCGCAGCTCTCAACGGACAACAGCACATGACACTACAGCGTCCAGACACCAACTTCATATAACCCCAACCTCTCCCATTCTTTACCCCCTCATCTGCCTAGACACCGTCCAATACCCGCTTTTTACTCTCTCATCTTTCAATCCCAAACCTACATCTTGTACTCAACCTTCATTAGCCTGCTCTACCCATTCCTTAACCTGTCATCACTCATCTCCCCTACTCTACCCAATCCTCGCTCCCTTATTTTCCCATCCCAAACCTTCACCCCTCCTCCTCAATGCCCCTCACCTGCCCATCCCCCACCCTACCACCCTCTCACCCCTTCATCTTCCCATTCCCAACCTTCAGCTCCTCCTTATCCCCTCACCTACTGGTTCCCTACTCCTCAACTGCCCATCCCCTACTCTACCCACTCCACCCACTCCTTACTCCCTCATTTGCCCAACTATCTGCCAGCTGCACCACTACCTCATCTGTTCATTCCCCCACACTACCCTGTTCTCACACCCTCATCTGCCCATCCCAAAGCTTCACTCCCACTTCACTCCTCAGCTGTCCACCCCCCCACTCTACCCATTTCTTACCCACTCATCTGCACATCCCCCAACCTAGCCCCCTTCCACCTCTGACCCTACCCCACCCCACCCCCTTTAACCCCTCGCCCTACCGTGTCTGTGTTTAGACAATGAAGGCTGTCATTTTAACTGGGACAACGTAACTATAGTTGCCCAAGCCAAACATAGACATGCAAGGGAATTCCTAGAGGCATGGTTCTCAACCCGTAATGCAATCAACAAACATAGAATTGGACCCCATATACAAACCCATATAGCCCAAAACCAGAAATGACACTACTCACCACCACAGACCAGACAGTATAAATTCCAAGTGGAGCAGAACAACATCGCTTCATCGGAGGCCTCACTGATGATGTTACCTAGCATGGTGACGAGACATCTGAATGAAAACAAGCCAGCTTGGCGAGCAAGTCACAACCTCATTTTTCTCATTATGAATTATTTGTACATTAAATACATTGCAAATTATCAATACCATATCAACATACTCCTCACCTCCATGGCACCCCCCTCCAAGTCCCAGACTTTATAAATTCAGTCAATCCAGAGGCTTGACTATCCGTCCTAATGAAGTATGTGTTAGACTGAGATAATTCTATCATTTGAGGATAGCTGATTTAGTTGCTGATCTTGTGTGGGAGTTGATCATGGCTGAACTGGGTCTTGGTTGTTATTTGTTAGGTTCGTCCATTGCCATAATAATGGATTGCAATTCTTTCACAGGACAAGGTGACAGCGATTCCAGTGCACCTTCTGGTGTGTTCAATAAAGTATGAACATTGCTGATTTTGTTCATTTGGTAAGGCTGTACCATGTCTAGATCTACACTGCTCCAGGCTTGGCAAGATTTTGGCCTGTTGTAGTTAGTTACTTGATGAAACATCTTTCTGAGAAAAAAAAATTAAATTCTAGGGCTTCTCAGTGGAGTTAATTACTTTGGAAGGATAGGGGACCAAGGTTTCCATTTTTTTCCCATTAACAGTACCAATAGTGAAAAACCATACTGGAGTTGCATGGCGTAGAGTTCAATAGAGCTGAGAAAATCCTGTGTTCTTTCTTAAAGGGGCTTTTGAATATTTGGACTCCACATTCAGCTTCACGATTGGACTGAGGTTATCTTGATGAATGAATGACATGATGGAACGCTGAAAAGGTTGCAAAGTCCTAAATCGTCGTTCATTATCAGATCTAACACCTCTGGCGAGTATTCCACGTGCAGGGTCAAGAATGTTGTTTTTCACTTCAGAGTATCAAGAGAAATAGTTGACTGCTATCAGGAAACGGTGGCTGTCAAACACATTCCGGTCAGCCCCTACGCAATCGATAGTCTGGTGAGAAAAGTAGTCAGAATCAGTGGTTCTCTTCTTTCATGTCTGACAATCAGTTTTGTGATATTTAAGCTGTTTAGTGATTCCAATCACCATACTCAATCTTAACCTTACTCTACATTTGGTGATGCCCAGGTTCCACTTGATATACAGTATCTTGTTAAGGATGTTGGTTAAGAATGATGAAGAAGGTATAATAAGCCCATTGTCCATGTTGTCATCAACAATAATGAAACATTGTGTCTGAAATAGGTTTTCATAGTTAATACTCTATTTAATACACTTTTCTGGCCAGCCTTCCACATGCAGCAAAACATTCAGGATCCCTTTTCTGTTCCTCTTTGATGAGGTTAAGCTTTCCTTTGCATTGCTGTCCACAAAATTGATGTTTCTTGATGTATTAATTGAGTTCGTCAAGAAACTGTTTATCTACTGTTGTCAGGTTGTTAATTGAAGTTATCTGCTGATCCCTGCAAATTTTCTTGCACACATGCAAATCTCACAAAATTGTATTTGTGGAGCAATTATTCCAGTTGTTTTTTTATTTTTCATTTTGTACAACTTGGAGGTGGTTCAAAGGAGATTTACTGGATTGATACCTGGAATGGCAGTCAGTCTTAAAGGTTTGACAAGCTAGGCTTGTTTAGAATTGTAAAATCCCTACATTGCAGATAGAGGTCATTCAGCCCATTGAGTCTACATTGACCTTCTGAAGAGCATCCCACCAGACCAAGTCCACATTTACCATGACTAATCCACCTAGCCTGCACATCCCTGGATACTAAAGAACAATTTAGCATGGCCAATTCACCTAACCTGCACATCTTTGGATTATGGGAGAAAACTAGAGCACCTGGTGGAAACCCACACAGACACCAGAAAACATATGAACTCCACAAAGACAGTCACCCAAGGCCAGAATTGAACCTGGGTCCACTGGTACTATGAGTTAGTTGAACTAACCACTGTGCCATGAAGAACAAGGGGTAATTTGATTGAAATGTATAAGATTCTTTATGGTCTTGACAAGGTGTAGCTGGAAAGGGTGTTTCCTTTGTGGGTGAGTTCAGGAGTAGGGGACACTGTTTTAAAATTAGGAGTCTCCCTTTTAGGGAGAGTATTTTTTTTTCTTTCAGAGAGTTGTAAAATTTTGGAGCTTTCTGTCTTAGATGGTAGTCTCATTGAATATTTTTCAGGTGGGGGAAGATAGATTCTTGTTAAGCAGAGGAATCAAAGGTTATCATGGACAAATGGGAATGTGGAATTAAGAACACAACAGATCAGCCATGATTTTATTGAATAGTGACGCTAGCTCGACAAGCTGAATGATCTACTTCTGCTCCTAATTCATATATTTCCATGTTTGTATCTAACAGTGAGATCAGTGGTTTATCATTGGTCCATATAAGAACCATGAGACTCACTGGGCAATCTGAAAATCTTTCACAGGCCCATGGAACCTTTTGGAAGGTCGAATTTGAATGCAGAATACAAGGTTAATGGCAGGATTCTCAGCAGTGTGGAGGAACAGAGGGATCTTGGGGTCCACGTCCATAGAGCCCTCAAAGTTGCAACCCAAGTTGATAGGGTTGTAAAGGAGATGTATAGTGTATTGGCTTTCATTGGCAGGGGAATTGCGTTTAAGAGCCGTGAGGTTATGCTGCAGCTCTATAAAACTCTGGTTAGACAACACTTGGAATATTGTGTTCAATTCTGGTCACCTCATTACAGGAACGATGTGGAAACTTTAGAGAGGGTGCAGAGGAAATTTACCAGGATGCTGCCTGGACTGAAGGGCAGGTCTTATATGGAAAGGTTGAGGAGCTAGGGCATTTTTCATCAGAGTGAAGAAGGATGAGAAGTGACTTGATAGAGGTTTCCGAGATGATGAGAGGTATAGATGGAGTGGATAGTCAAAGACTTTTTCCCAGGGCGGAAATGACTATTACGAGGGGGCATAATTTTAAGGTTATTGGAGGAAGGTATAGGGGAGATGTCAGAGGCAGGTTCTTCACACAGAGAGTGCTGGGCGTGTGGAATGCTCTGCCAGCAGTGGTAGTGGAGTCAGATACTTTAGAGACAGTTAAGTGACTCTTGGATAGGCACATGGAGGATAGTAAAATGTAGGGTATGCAGGGTAGATTGATCTTAGTAGGATAATAGGTCTGCACAACATTGTAGGCCGTAGGGCCTGTACTGTGCTGTACTGTTCTATGCTCTATGTTCTATGTTCTATGAACCCAAGAGTGCTTCCCTTTCTATTGCAGCATATCACATTTCGGTATGAAAAATACTCGGGGTGTGTAATGCACAGATTTTCTGTATCTTTCAAACTGTTCTTGTAAGAGGACTGCTCCAATGCTTGTCACTGAGGCATTCATGGCAATAATTGTTCGGAATGGTGGAATATAAAGGGCTAAGACATCTCCCAGAGTCAGGATGTCTTTGATCTTCTGAAAGGCCTCCTTTACACTTCTTGAGTAAATGCCTCAAAGAATCTTGAATCCTACAGTGTGGAAACAGACCATTCAGCTTATCAAGCCCACATTTGCCCTCTGAAGAGCATCTCACACAGACCCACACCACTACCCTATCCCTGTTACACTGCATTTCCCATTGCTAATGCACCTAGTCTGCACATCCCTAGACACTATGGGCAATCCACATAACCTGCACATCTTTGGTTTGTGGGAGGAAACCAGCGCACTTGGAGGAAATCCATGCAGATATGTGTAGAATGTGCAAACTCCACACAGACAAGCGCCCGAGGCTGGAATCAAATCTGGGTCCCTGGTCCTGTAAGGCAGCATTGCTAATCATTAAGCTGCTGTACTTCCCCTAAGATTCCCTTATGGTTGCAAAAAAGGGTAAGAATTTTTGTAACTGATGTGCCATTCCCAAAAATTGTAAGTCGTGAACTGCACGTGAAAAGAACCTGAGCTGAATTCCAGAGGTGC